TTTGATTTACCTCCAACAGTGAAGCGTAATGTACGAAAGATTGAGAAAATTCGTGTTAGAATTATTAATCTTACTTTTTCGGTCATATTTAATAATATATGTCTACAGGAAAGACTGCTACCAAAATATACTATATATATATATATATATATATATATATATATATATATATATATATATATATATATATATATATATATATATATATATATATATATATATATATATATATATATATTAAAACATGACCACATGCTGGCGTTGTTGATCTTATAGTGTAAGCTATCTTATAACCATTTTCTTTACTGAGAAGAGCAATCAAATTAGCAAAACTGACGACAAGGAAACTCTAATAATTATAAAAGAACTTTTTGCTACAACGTTTCGTTCCTATATATATGTATATATATATATATATATATATATATATATATATATATATATATATATATATATATATATATATATATATATATATGCGAACAAGCCTGAATGGTCCCCAGGACATATGCAACTGAAAACTCACACCCCAGAAGTGACTCGAACCCATACTCCCAGAAGCAACGCATCTGGTATGTACAAGACGCCTTAATCCACTTGACCATCACGACCGGACATAATGAGGTGATAGCCGAGGCTATATGAACCACCCCACCGCCGGCACTCGGATAGTTATCTTGGGCATAGCATTTTACCAAATCACCTCATTCTTTGGGGCACACGTGAGGAACACAAATGCGAACAAGCCTGAATGGTCCCCAGGACATATGCAACTGAAAACTCACACCCCAGAAGTGACTCGAACCCATACTCCCAGAAGCAACGCATCTGGTATGTACAAGACGCCTTAATCCACTTGACCATCACGACCGGACATAATGAGGTGATAGCCGAGGCTATATGAACCACCCCACCGCCGGCACTCGGATAGTTATCTTGGGCATAGCATTTTACCAAATCACCTCATTCTTTGGGGCACACGTGAGGAACACAAATGCGAACAAGCCTGAATGGTCCCCAGGACATATGCAACTGAAAACTCACACCCCAGAAGTGACTCGAACCCATACTCCCAGAAGCAACGCATCTGGTATGTACATGACGCCTTAATCCACTTGACCAGATTAAGTACGCATCTTGTACATACCAGATGCGTTGCTTCTGGGAGTATGGGTTCGAGTCACTTCTGGGGTGTGAGTTTTCAGTTGCATATGTCCTGGGGACCATTCAGGCTTGTTCGCATTTGTGTTCCTCACGTGTGCCCCAAAGAATGAGGTGATTTGGTAAAATGCTATGCCCAAGATAACTATCCGAGTGCCGGCGGTGGGGTGGTTCATATAGCCTCGGCTATCACCTCATTATGTCCGGTCGTGATGGTCAAGTGGATTAAGGCGTCTTGTACATACCAGATGCGTTGCTTCTGGGAGTATGGGTTCGAGTCACTTCTGGGGTGTGAGTTTTCAGTTGCATATGTCCTGGGGACCATTCAGGCTTGTTCGCATTTGTGTTCCTCACGTGTGCCCCAAAGAATGAGGTGATTTGGTAAAATGCTATGCCCAAGATAACTATCCGAGTGCCGGCGGTGGGGTGGTTCATATAGCCTCGGCTATCACCTCATTATGTCCGGTCGTGATGGTCAAGTGGATTAAGGCGTCTTGTACATACCAGATGCGTTGCTTCTGGGAGTATGGGTTCGAGTCACTTCTGGGGTGTGAGTTTTCAGTGATATATATATATATATATATATATATATATATATATATATATATATATATATATGCAAACAAGCCTGAATGGTCCCCAGGACTATATACAACTGAAAACTCACACCCCAGAAGTGACTCGAACCCATACTCCCACAACTGGTATGTACAGGGACGCCTTAATCCGCTTGACCATCACGACCGGACATAAGGAAGTGATAGCCGAGGCTATATGAACCACTTCCCCGCCGGCACTCGGATGGTAATCTTGGGCATAGCATTTTATCAAATCACCTCATTCTTTGGGGCACACGTGAGGAACACAAATGCAAACAAGCCTGAATGGTCCCCAGGACTATATACAACTGAAAACTCACACCCCAGAAGTGACTCGAACCCATACTCCCACAACTGGTATGTACAGGGACGCCTTAATCCGCTTGACCATCACGACCGGACATAAGGAAGTGATAGCCGAGGCTATATGAACCACTTCCCCGCCGGCACTCGGATGGTAATCTTGGGCATAGCATTTTATCAAATCACCTCATTCTTTGGGGCACACGTGAGGAACACAAATGCAAACAAGCCTGAATGGTCCCCAGGACTATATACAACTGAAAACTCACACCCCAGAAGTGACTCGAACCCATACTCCCACAACTGGTATGTACAGGGACGCCTTAATCCGCTTGACCATCACGACCGGACATAAGGAAGTGATAGCCGAGGCTATATGAACCACTTCCCCGCCGGCACTCGGATGGTAATCTTGGGCATAGCATTTTATCAAATCACCTCATTCTTTGGGGCACACGTGAGGAACACAAATGCAAACAAGCCTGAATGGTCCCCAGGACTATATACAACTGAAAACTCACACCCCAGATATCAAATCACCTCATTCTTTGGGGCACACGTGAGGAACACAAATGCAAACAAGCCTGAATGGTCCCCAGGACTATATACAACTGAAAACTCACACCCCAGATATCAAATCACCTCATTCTTTGGGGCACACGTGAGGAACAACAAATGCAAACAAGCCTGAATGGTCCCCAGGACTATATACAACTGACTCACACTTCTCACACTTCTGGGGTGTGAGTTTTCAGTTGTATATAGTCCTGGGGACCATTCAGGCTTGTTTGCATTTGTGTTCCTCACGTGTGCCCCAAAGAATGAGGTGATTTGATATCTGGGGTGTGAGTTTTCAGTTGTATATAGTCCTGGGGACCATTCAGGCTTGTTTGCATTTGTGTTCCTCACGTGTGCCCCAAAGAATGAGGTGATTTGATAAAATGCTATACCCAAGATTACCATCCGAGTGCCGGCGGGGAAGTGGTTCATATAGCCTCGGCTATCACTTCCTTATGTCCGGTCGTGATGGTCAAGCGGATTAAGGCGTCCCTGTACATACCAGTTGTGGGAGTATGGGTTCGAGTCACTTCTGGGGTGTGAGTTTTCAGTTATATATATATATATATATATATATATATATATATATATATATATATATATATATATATATATATATATATATATATATATTAAATAATGTTCTACCTGACAAACATGGTACTGCCGTAGCAACACTTGCGGTTACAATCCAGAGAGAAGGGGCGGATGCTGCTTCTATCATGGCCTGGGGCCGGAAGTTAAGCGATAACCCGTATAAGTAAAAATGTGGTGCGTTATAGTTCATAAAAATAAACACTTGTAATAATAATAATACATTTAGTTGAGGCACACACTGACACTAAGATGTGCCACGAGGACGTAAGAAAAATACTTCCTTAGTGTAAGAGCTAAGAAAATGTGGAGTACATTACACGATGACCCTGCTAGTGCTGGACACTCACACCCACTCATATATTGAACGACTGATAGGGTAAGGCGGGGCTAAAGAGCAGACGTTTGACCCTGCGAGTAGATCTAGATGAATACAACTAGGTGGGAGAATACAAGTACCATAAGCTATACTATAACAGTATGAATTTACATTTCATTCTCCAAGTAAAATTCATTGTCTTGATTTTAGGTTCATACGCAGCCCATCCTCCTGTTTAGATAGTGCTTAGAGAAACGATGTGCACCATCGTACATATATTGACGTAATTGACAAATAGAATATAGAATTTGGTAGTACTGAATTTGAACACACCAGAAAAGCTTTGTATTTATGTTGCTAATAAAACCTAACCTGACTATCCTAAGCCAAATACACGCTATCTGAGACCTAATAGTTCCAACTTCTACTATCTAATTGTTCATTATGTCAACATATGTACGATGGTCCACATAGTCCGGTTCCCTTATGCACCATTAGATCACTCAGCAAACGCGTGATGACTATTTGTACAATATCTAGCTTCATAAAATATTACGTATACAAACACTATGTTGTACCGACACGAAGGATTACTGCCTCATGTCAGTTGTTAAACATCTACATAGTTTGGGTGTATTAGGATTTATAACAGGACAATAAAATAAACGCAAAACCAAAAGGTCAAGAGATATCCGGCGTATAATTATAGTCACTTGGAAAGTTGCTCACGGCCGAGGTTGTGGTGCGTGTACAGTGAATGACGATGCTGTATACAGTTGCCACATTAATGAAGATAATTAATATTATTTTTTTAATTAATGTATACTGCTTTATGTATATGGTAGAGATGTAAATAGCATGCGAGGGCGGGTCAGCGTGTGAGCATGCTAGACACACTTGTGATCCTCACAACACCTGGCCAGAATGACTCACGCTGAAAACATTAAGTAGAAACTAGGGTACACATAGTTGCCCGCGGCACAATACCTGCTTATTCTCTTGAATTATAATGCTTTTTCGTTTCCCGCAGTTTTCAGAGCATGTTAATGAAATAAATTTGTTTTTGAGATATATTTGAGTATTATAGGATTACGAGGTTTAACAGAAAAATAGTTAATTAGTAGCCATATTTTGCAAACAAATTCATGTTATAAATGTTATTGTCCTTTGAGAGTGTAAACACACTATAACCATGGCCACTGAAACAAGAAAACAGCCTTTATTTCAACAGTACAATACAACAAAACTGTTTTGACGGCTATTATTTAGTATTCGAACCACCAAAAATCATCACAATTTATTAAATAAAAATCAGTTTTTTGTCACGGTTAAACAGACAATAACACCTTCGAATCTTCAAATACCTTTAACCAGGATAGAAAAGTATAAGAGAGAGAGAGAGAGTGGTAGAGAGAGATCATCAGGACAATGAGTGTGTGTTGACGAACAACAAAATATGAGGAGAGTGCAGCTGCACCCCGTCAGTAGCGGCCAGGGCTGGCACCAGTGTAGTACCACCCCGACCACCGCCTCCCCACGTCTTCCTTAACAAGCGTTAAACAACCCTCTTGTGAGAAGTTATCACCCCACACGCAAGACGACACTTGTATATGTATAGTTTGCGGTAGTGAACTGTTCTTGGAAGATCATGAAGGGACAGGTGCTGTGGCTGATACTGTGTACAGTGGCAGGCAAGTGTAATGATAGTATTTTACATTCCACTTACAGTCTGCTTCATATAATTAAAATAATCAGAAAAAATATATATATATATATATATATATATATATATATATATATATATATATATATATATATATATATGCGTGTATGTACTGAATATGCTAGAAAGGATTAGATCAATGATTCTAACACGGATCTTCTCTATATGTCATATAGAAGGGTACGGGCAGTGTCCGGGTATATGTCTCTCCTCACATTCTCCCTCTGAGTCTCCCTCCCATTCTCTGTGCCGTTCTCTACCCTTACACCCTTCCTGTTCTCTCTCGCAGTGCGTTGAATTAACATTATCGACGTTGACCCTACTTTATCGAAGTAGATTCAACGTCGATAACAGCCAAGAAATGTGTTAGCTAAACACTCTATGGATAATGAAACCCGCATTTCAGACTACATACGAGTCGTTGAGTGGCTCAATCTTCTCAATCATAACCAATCTTACTTAAGGAGGGGCATTAGGCCCGACCCAACCACCCTATGACGCTAGCCATACAGTCACAGTTCACTGTGGAAGGTTGAATGACGCAAACTGCCTCCGTCTGGCCTTCAGCTTCGAGCAAACAAACAAGCTGACATTCTCTCATACTGCATTATATACATTATATATTATATACTGCCATACACTATATTCGGGCATTATATATTGCATATATAAAGCCTGAAACGCAATGCGTGTTAGTGGCTTTACAAGAATGTAAAAACGTCAATGCTATGTACTCTCATAAACCAAATGTACCTTCTTGCATATATTTAAATATATAAAATAAATAAATAAAAATAAATAACTAAAATAAATAAACTCCTGCTGTGACTTCGGTTCCTGTCCGGAAGCGGGGGAGCTTCAAGAGATCCCTAACCTTTAAGTACTCACTGTATCAACCAACGTACATCTTGTAACCTTTAAATATCTAATAAAGTACAACAAGACACACAAGGAAGGGGGGGTAGGAGAAAAGCACACAGGAACTGTACTGGAGGAGACCTAAACATTCCTTCTAATGCGTTATGTGTGCTTTCCTCCAATGCTCAGGGTCCCCCTTCTTCCAGCCAGAGGAATAAATAAATAAATCTAAATATATATAAATAAATAAATAAAAATAAATATAAATAAATACATAAATAAATAAAAATAAATAAATATAAATAAATAAATATTCTTTTTTAATTGAGGTGAAAAAATTAACCCTCCATAGTATATTTTACAGGTTTATATTGCCTGACGGTAAGAGATATGTATCATTGATCTAGTCAACATTTTCATAGGCCATTGAGAAGTGGAAAGAAATTAACTGATTGATTGATTGATGAAGATTAAGCCACACAAGAGGTGGGACGGGCATTAACAGCCCGTAAAGAAATTAACTGTTGTTGTTTTAGATTCAGCTACTGGGAACAAAACATTCCAAGTAGCACGGTCTATGGTGAGCCCGTAAGGAAGTTAGGTGATTGATGATGAAGATTAAACCACCCAAAAGGTGGCACGGGCATGAATAGCCCATAAGTGGTGGCCCTTTTGAGCCACTACCAGTATCAAGAGCTGATACTGGAGATCTGTGGAGGGGAAGTTAGATGGGGGCAACCGCACACATAGCCAAGAAGGGTGAGGTGACAGAAGTAAGGGGCTGGGCCGCTGGGGCTCCTGCATGTTACTTCACGTGCATATGCACTGACCCACACAAATTTACTGTCAACATGAGACTGTTATAAATACAACAATGAAACATAAAAGTAAACAAGATTACATCAGACTGACGTGAACAATATACCTGTTTGTTTTTTTAGTTTGGATAATACAACAAAATCATATAACCTAGCACAAGAAGATATAGTTACTTGTTTCTAAAAATATAATTTTCACAAAAATAGTTGTTATAAAGAGATATTTTTTCCAAGAAAACTCGTGTTATGCAGGAAACCTTAAGCAGGATGCGTCTATGTCATAAACAACACCAAACGTGTTCGCGTTGGCGTTTATCTGACTTGCAGTCCTTGCTCGTCAGTGACTTAAAATATGACACGAACATAATTACACTAATATGTGGCGTATTAATATATGTCTACAGGAAAGACTGCTACCAAAAATATATATATATATATATATATATATATATATATATATATATATATATATATATATATATATATATATATATATATATATATATATATATATATATATATATATATTCAGTTGCATATGTCCTGGGGACCATTCAGGCTTGTTCGCATATATATATATATATATATATATATATATATATATATATATATATATATATATATATATATATATATATATATATATATATATATATATATATATTGACATTTCTGTGTATGTTTGTACATTTGTGTGTATTTCGTTTGCAATGTAATTGTATTCTATGTTTCAACTGGCATTAGTTTGTAGTGTGAATCTATTCGTTTGTGGTAACTAATATTTTCGTCTGTATTGTCACCATGTTAGTTTGTGTTAATTAACTTATTCACTGTGTACTGTTATGCTCATTTGTAATGTGGTTATGTTCGTTTGTATTGTATTGTGGTACCAACGTATTTGTTGTTCGTTTGTATTGTATTGTGGTACCAACGTATTTGTTGTTCGTTTGTATTGTATTGTGGTACCAACGTATTTGTTGTTCGTTTGTATTGTATTGTGGTACCAATGTATTTGTTTGTTGTTCGTTTGTATTGCATTGTTATATGAAACCGTGCTGCTTTTTTCGCTACGTTTGTGAATATGTGTACCAAAGAGTATGTGAGTTTCTATCTCATGTTGTACAAGTTATATATTATTCAACAGATTTTTTTTCATCGATATGAATTAAATTGTATTAATAATTTGTATTATCAATTTTGAACTAAGTTTTCTTTGTCCTGTACTCTTGTTTATTTGCATTAATTTCGGTATTATGACCATGCTTCTCTCTCAAATGTCTCTCCAGGCGTGATGGTCATTTAGTGCTGTAGTGGAATATACATTAACTTAGTCAAAGTCTAAGTCAGTATGGCAATTCACTGAGTCAGAGGTGTCCAGTAAGATGACACGTGGTGTATCGGCAAATACATGTAGCAAATTTATGCTCTTGAACAGCAAGATCATTTTTCTTATAATTTCTAAATAATGTTTTTTGGGGGGAATATGGACAATGTTTTAAATAATAGACAATATGAAGTCTAATATTGAATTTACCCTTCGAGTCGGAGGTATGACAAGTGGAAAAATACCTTTTATGTTAACATTTCATATACTGTTATCGGAATTAGTAACAGTAGGAAATAGACTGAGAACAATATAACGAACTCAACACATCATTCTTCGTCAAATATGTCCCAGCGTCTCTACTAATTTGAAAGTTTTGGCCTTGAATGTTGATATTTAAGATTCTCAGCCCACCCTATAAAGTTATAGTACTTATAGCAACTATAGCTGGAACGTACAAAAATAGTCTGTTGTAAAAAAAGTTTGTTTTGTACTGTTGCATTACCCAGATATAATGCCAAAAATGAAACAGTAATTGTGCAACCTAACAAAATCCTTAGGTCAGGAGTCGTTAGGCGAGTGGTCAGGTCTCCTTGGGTGTGTTAGAGTGTAGGTGAGGAGACGGTGGTTGAGACGTCCCATGACTGTTCGGCAACACTGCGTGCTTCACTTGTAATACTGCATGATGGATTTCGGACATTTTCAATATGGGGCTTTATAAAATATTTCACATTGATTTTCAATTATGATTTATAGTAGACACTGTGGCCAGCAGTGGCTGGAGTAATAATTACTCCAGTGCAGTAAATCAGTGCGAATAATAAATACGAGGACGCTTTACGATGCTTGACAACGATGCAGTGCTGTTCGAAACTATAACCAAAATATCGCTTTAAACATCTCTCTGGACGGCCAAGGAGTTTTAAATAAATCAAGGTTGATGCAACAACGAGTTAGACTAGCTGAAAAGCTGAAATGACTTCGAAACCTTGTGATTGAAAATCCTGACAATGCAACTCTTACGATGTGTCCACCAACACAAAACTATGCAACCCTTACGAAATACTGAGAGGGTGAGTTTATTGGCAGGAGTTAGAAGTTGGAGTATGATGACCGTAAACGTCGAATTACCATGAGAGATAAGGGAGAAGCTAGGGTTGGCACCCCTGGGGTTAAAGACTGACACAAACATCAGTGAGGGTGTTTAAAGTTGGTGAGAGTGAGATATAGGGCTGTCTGGTGCAGGGTGAGGGCTGTCTGGTGCAGGGTGAGGGCTGTCTGGTGCAGGGTGAGGGCGGTCTGGTGCAGGGTGAGGGCTGTCTGGTGCAGGGTGAGGGCTGTCTGGTGCAGGGAGAGGGCGGTCTGGTGCAGGGTGAGGGCTGTCTGGTGCTGGGTGAAGGCTGTCTGGTGCAGGGTGAGGGCTGTCTGGTGCAGGGTGAGGGCTGTCTGGTGCAGGGTGAGGGCTGTCTGGTGCAGGGTGAAGGCTGTCTGGTGCAGGGTGAGGGCTGTCTGGTGCAGGGTGAGGGCTGTCTGGTGCAGGGTGAAGGCTGTCTGGTGCAGGGTGAGGGCTGTCTGGTGCAGGGTGAGGGCTGTCTGGTGCAGGGTGAGGGCTGTCTGGTGCAGGGTGAAGGCTGTCTGGTGCAGGGTGAGAGCTGTCTGGTGCAGGGTGAGGGCTGTCTGGTGCAGGGTGAGGGCTGTCTGGTGCAGGGTGAGGGCTGTCTGGGTGCAGGGTGAAGGCTGTCTGGTGCAGGGTGAGGGCTGTCTGGTGCAGGGTGAGGGCTGTCTGGTGCAGGGTGAGGGCTGTCTGGCGCAGGGTGAGGGCTGTCTGGCGCAGGGTGAAGGCTGTCTGGTGCAGGGTGAGGGCTGTCTGGTGCAGGGTGAGGGCTGTCTGGAGCAGGGTGAGGGCTGTCTGGTGCAGGGCGAGGGCTGTCCGGGTGCAGGGTGAGGGCTGTCTGGTGCAGGGTGAGG